CCCTAGTGCCCTCTATTGACCAGCTGCCACTGTTAGTGAAGCTAACGCTTTAGTTAGCTATGCCCACCACTGGTTTCCACTAATTTCCTTACCTGTTTAGTGGTTAATGTTTAAGTTTTTCAGTTACAGAATTGATAGCTAGCGAAGCTGACGTTTTAGATTTTTTTGACTATGATTATTAGCTTCCACTAAATTAGGTTTGATCAATTTTAAGTTCACTAACAGCTAACTAACAAGCTAACATCAACAAGTCTGTTTTAGTCCCACCAGTCTTCAGCTGAATGAAACGAAGACATGAGGCAGACTGAGTGACAGTCGTCTTAGTGGTTAGAGATTAGCTGTTAGCGTTAGCTTCTGCAATTTTTATAAACATGTTTAACATTAGCAAAGCTATATTTTTGGTTAGTGGATTAGGAGTTTGTAAGGCAAACATTTTCTTTAGCTGTGCCCACCACTGYACYTTATTTTGAGGAAGTGAGTTTGTTGTTGAAAATGTCAGGGCTGACTTGGCAGAGCTTTTTACCCACCTCCACGTAAGAATTTACTGTGTGATTGGTCAGACAGGTGTGTTTGTGCTGACAGTGCTCGGATGCTGCATTTTGCTTCAACTGCTCGGTTAAAAAAAAAAAAAAAGACTCGCTTCCAGAAACTGACCGTTATACCAGGAAGCAGACATTTATAAAGTTAATCAAACAGCCAAAAACAGATGTTGTGCAAGGAGGAATATGACTGATAAAAACTGCTGAGCTTTAACCGTGACAGATTTGTGAATAAATAATGCCAAATAACGTCGGGTGACAGGCCTCACATTTTTTTCTGCATTGTAGGCTCCAGCAAGAAGAAATCCCATGTAGTGGCATATGCTGCAGCGGGAGGGGTTTCCCAGCAGCTCGGTGCGGTGTGTCTCAGGAGCAATAAAGGTGAAAACGAACGCCAAACAACCATGTGACTGTTCGCCTTCGAAAAGAGTGTGTTCCAGCCTTTAAGATCTGGTAAGGTTTACTGATTTAAATTTTCTCTTCTTATACAAGATGTGGTTTCTTTTCTATAAATAAGGGATTGTTTTACATATAAAATGTTTACAGTGAAATAAAGAACTGTACATTTAAACTAGAGGTGTCCCGATACCGATACCAGTATCGGAATCGGATCCGATACCAGCATCAAGTACTCGTACTCGTACTTGTAAAAGCCAGCCGATACTCTTAACCGATACCGCTT